GATGACATCCTCGGGCCACAAGTGGTCATCTCATAACAACCCTTATGTTACGACTCTTGCTAATTTGTGATACTGGCTGTCATCGCCCCCTGCCTTCGCAAGAAGCCCCTCCTCCGTCTTCGTGGCCCACCACGTATGTGTGGTCAACACGTTTTCGTTGCTACCGGCCCCAAATCTGCTCATAACGGGTCCGCGGGCCCCTCCAGGGATCCGTTCTGGGCCGATTTTCGAGCTGCGTCTGGCAGTGGCGACCCCTGAAGTCCCAGCCGCTCGAGACGTCCTCGGAAAGCACCTCAAATCCCGAGACCGTGCGGTCACTCCACTGACTCAACATGGTGTGATCACGGCGCTGGCGCTGCAATCAACCACCGCTGCAATCGGGGGCGCGCAAACGTGGATTAGCGATCCATGGATTTGGCGCGCGGTCGCCAAATCCATGGATCGGGGGAGGCGCCCTCCCCAAAATGCGGCCCGTGCCGCCTTTCTCGGCGGCAAAAATCCGCGATTTCCCATGGAAGCGACACCCGTCGCTAATCCACGCCCCCTGTATCCATGTTTGCAATCGCCTGATGCAAACACCCCTGACGTCCGACGATATGATCTTTTCAGTCCGTGTCCCCAAAAGTCCCGACCACTACCCTGGGAGACGGTGTTCCATCCTGGGCGCACTCTTGGCTGCCCCCAGGTCCACGCAGCGGTTCCCAGGGGCCGGAATCAAAGATAGCGGCCAGTTGAACAATCACGTCAGTGAAAACTGGGGCCGCCACCTCCGCCGCCACCCTCGCCGTCTTCTGCTGGAGCTCCAAGATCTAGAACAATGTTGATTTCCATACGTTTTTTGTAGAGGTTTTTGGCCTTTCAATCTTCTCGGGTTTCCGACGCTCGAAAGCGACCCACGAAGCCTCCAACCCCGTCTCCAGACGACTCGAAAGGCCCCCACTCGGGCCTCCAGACATCCCACGATGGCCCCAATGCGGCCTAAGAGGGCTTCAAGGCAGCTTCATAGCGCCCCAAGAAGCTCCAAGAAAGGCCCCGGAAGGGGACCGCGAACTGAAACTCCGAGCTCTCCGGCCCCCAAAACCAATTTTCGGAGACCCCGAAAGGCCCAAAACGCTACCGCGACTGTGCGAACAGGCCCTATGACGGCCCCTGAACAAAGTGCGATCGCGCAAATTGCCGCGCGACTACCGAGCAACTCCACACACTCCACTCACACAAATATGATCCCCCCCATGCTCTCGCTCATCGATGCGCCCAGCGCTCCCTCCAGGGCTTCTAAAGCCATCAAAGCGGCCCAACAGGGTCCAAAAGAGCGCCGACAACAGCGCCTCCATATCGAAGACATTGATCTTCCATGGGTTTTTTGACATATGTTAACGTTCTTGCCTGCTTCGCCTTTCAGAAGCCCATGACTGGCAAAGCAGCGGCCGAAATTACCCCAAGAAGACCCAATAACCCTCCCAAAGGCGCTCAAGACGGCCCCAGAGCTGCCAACTACGGCCTCCTTCTCGGGGTCGCAAGTACACCTCGAGCTGGTCCCTCCAGGGCTTATGAGGCCTTCAAGACGGCTCACGAGGGCCCCAAGAACGCCCACAACAGCGCCTCCATAAACCAAACATAATGATTTGCTATTGTTTGTTTGACGGTGTTTCACGTTCTCGCCTGCTTCGATTTCGAAAACCCACGACGGCCAAAACAACCGCCGAAATGGCCCCAAGAATGCCCCCCAAACCCTTCCCCAAAAAACCCAAACGGCCCTGGAACGACCAAATACGGCCCCAAACACGTCCAAGACGGCCCAAAACGACTGCAAGAATGTTCCAAAACGACCGCGGAACACCCCCAAGACGGCCTCCGAAAAAGTCACACGGGCTCCAAAACCGCCCCAAAAAACACCAACACGAACCGACATGTCTCCGCGAACCCCCAAAGACTTCCCGAAAAGCCCTCCGGAAGCCAAGAGGTCCCCTAAGACCCCCCCCCTCAGGCGCTCGAACACGCCCCTTGCGCACCGAACGGGAAACTTCACCAACGAACTCCGCAAGCTGGTCCTCCGTGCATGTGCGACGCTTGTACGGGCGGGCCTCCCATCGAACGTTGAGATTCTGCACCTAGCTCGACGCGCGCGGCGAGGTCCAGCGCACCGCTTCCTCTCGGGTGCTTCACTTCGCTGCACACCTGGGCACAAGAGTGGTCCCCCAAAACGGCTGTCGAAGGATCCATACGATCCTAGCGCGCCCGAAGACTGTCTGGGGCGCTCCCCAACGTCAGCCAATTTTCTTGAAGTCGATGCCCACAAGAAACGACGCACATCTTCCAAAATGCACCACTTCCAAAACGAACCCAACGCCCGCGTTCTCCGCAATCCAGACGTGCACCCCGCGAAGCGAGGGGAAGCACACCATTTGAAAGATGGGGCCGCCGCCTTCCACGATTCACGCGCTTTGTGACCCCATAGGGAGCTCCACCTGCGGTGTCAACGGGTCCGGGCGCATGGCGTACGCGCCCCCAAGCCAGCACCCTCACACGTTTCGTGGCCCATAAAAATCTGGAGGTCGGAAAGGTGCGTAGCATAAAGGGGTATGGTGCCAATCGCCGTCTTGTGCTGCAGCACCCCCGCGCACCCGCCAGGCCCTCCGCCAGCGTCGCGCTGGCAGACCCTCCCCCCCTTCACGCACGCCGCCTGGCCCGTTCCCTGGCGGGGCGGAAGGTGATCCCTGAAGGGGCCCCAGGACACACAAATAAGTACACACAAATAAAATTATTCCCCATATTTCCCATATTTGCGGGGTTTTTGTCTTCCCCCACACTTCCCATATTTTCCTAGGTTTTCCTGGGAATCGACGATTAATTGTGTCTGTCCTGAATCCCGTAGAGGGCTTGCCCCACGCCGCAGCGTGCTGGGCTCGGTCGGCCACTCCACGCCGCCCCCCGACGACCCCGATGGCCGTCCCTGACGACCACAAGCGACCCCCCCCCCCGACGCCCACCGTCCACTCCACTGCTACGAATGCGCCTCTGGGTCGGCGTCGCCGCCGTAGGCCCCTGGCCTGGCCTGTCTGCTTGCGGTTGCTTTCCGCCTTCCCCTCGCCCTTGCCTTTCTTCCCTCTCTCCTGCTCCCTGCCCGCTGCCTCCGCCTGGCCCCCTCCTGCCCGCCCGCCCGCCCTGCCGGCCCTGGCCTCCCGCCTGCGCGCTCGTCGCCGCCTGCCTGCAGTCTCCCCCCCCTCCTCCCCTGACCTTCCAAGAGGGCTAAAAATAGCACGCGACTCACAAACCTATCCCAAGGCTATCCTACGTCTTGGCTTCAGGCTGTTTCGCTTAGTTTTCAAGGTTTTTAGGCCTCCAGTGTTGAAAAATAGCTCTCTGAAGGCCAGGGTCCCCCGGCCCCCCGCCGCCAGACAGCGCAGCCCGCCCAGGACCCAGCGTGGCGGCCCGCAGGACGCCCCGGAGGCTTCGGGCGGAGCGGTACGCCCTCCCCTGGACGGTTTCCCCCGGGGCCGTAGGCGACCCGAGTAGGGGAGGGCCAGGAGGGGGAGGAGGGGGAGGAGGAGGAGGAGGAGGAGGAGGAGGAGGAGGAGGAGGAGGAGGAGAGGGAGGAGGAGGAGGAGGAGGAGGAGAGGGAGGAGGAGGAGGAGGATGAGGAGGAGAGGAGTGAGAGGAGGTGAGGAGGAGGAGGAGGAAGAGGAATATAGACGGTGCTTAGGGATCTTAGGGGGGTCGTCTAGGCCCTTCGGAGAAACCCTCCCCCCACCCCCCCACCCCCGCGCGGGAGCGCAGCACGGGGGGCGTGCAAAGAGGGGGGGGGGCTGGCTCTCGGGGGCGGAGGCGTCGACCTGGCGTCGGCGGTGCACCGCCGACAGATCGGCGACGGGCCCTCGACAGCGAGTCTGCCCGGGCCTATCGGGCACGTCTACCGGCGAGCAGCGGGCGCTCCGGGTCGATGCCTCGCTCCCTGAGCCTTTCCCCCCCGGGCGCTGCCCCTTGGCTCCCGGGCCTGAGCTCGGCCCGCCGGTGGCAACTCGGGACGACCAAGGCACCCCGGAACGCTCTCGGCGAGGCGAGGCCGCTGGAATGCACCCCGAGGCTGGAGAGGCGCCGCCGACAACCGAAAACGCCCGAAACCCTGGACGTTGCGCCTATCTCCCCTGACCGTGCCCGTGGTTAAATGAAGAACAACTTGCACAGATGCTTCGGAACTCCGCTCAGATTTCTTGGATCGGCGCTGGACCCCCCGCCCTGACGCGCGGAGCGCGCCAGGGGCGGCGCCGGAGGCGTCGCCAGGGGGGCCCCAGCGCCGACCCCTAGGGAACCCACAAAGGATGTACGCGCCCAGCTATGTACATGAACACGGCCCCTCGATCCGCGAGACCGGCCGCGTTATACGAACATTTGCGCAATGCGTACTCTCGAAACCGGCGTGGATTCATGTACATGTACGTCCTTCTTTCGCTCCTGAACCCTAGAAACCTGCGCGTACCTACCAGATTGTCATGTCGATGATGCTCAGAACGTGTGTCGGCGCCAACTTCAATACGACGTGGGCGGTGTAATGAGAGCCGACGCGCGCGCTGCGTGCTGTCGGCGGAGCTCAGCGAGGGAAAGCACGCCTTGGGCCGACGCACGTTGCTCTGTGGATCATGGACTCCTCTTCGAGAGGGGACTTCCGAACACCTCGAGGACCTCTGGCGCTGAGACTGCCCCCGACCTCCCCCTCTTGGACGCCCGAGTTACCCCTGATGATTCGGGGCTCTGGACGCCCGAAATATCCGAGGTAACTCGGATCCGGGATAACTCGGGATCGGGCTTCCGAAAAACGAACCCGAGTTAGCCCTGACCCAGTTACCCCTGATGATTCGGGGCTCTGGACGCCCGAAATATCCGAGGTAACTCGGATCCGGGATAACTCGGGATCGGGCTTCCGAAAAACGAACCCGAGTTAGCCCTGACCCGAGTTACCCCTGATGATTCGGGGCTCTGACCCTCCCTCGAGGGGGGCCGACCGCTGGGGCCACCGCGGCGGCGGGGTGCTCGCCGGCGGGGGCGGCGGCGGTCTGCCGGCGTGGGGGTCGCAGCCGAGCTCGAGGCCCCTGCGGGCGATCTGCTCGCGCACCTGGCTGGGCAGGGTCTGCCCGCCGCCGCCCGCCATCCCGCCTGCTGTGCGGCGTCGAGCCATATCATCCTCCTCCCTCCTCCTCCTCCTCCTCCTCCTCACTCCTCCTCCTCCTGCTCACTCCTTCTCCTTCTCCGCCTCCTCCTCCTTCTCCTGCTCGCCGGGTTTTTGGCGCCGCCGCCGACTTCGGCGCCGCCGACCTCGCCGCCCCCGCCGCGGCCGAGCGAGGCCCCCGCGGGCGATCTGCTGGCGTACCTGGCTGGGCCGGACCTGTCGCGGAGGGCTTGGCGACGACTTGTTTTTCGATCGGCCTGTGGGGGCCGGGCCGGAAGCATCCATTGACATCCAGGTAAATCGGGGGGAACTCATGGTACATCTGAGCAAGCGAGTGGCGGTGCCCAAGTATTCGACGCGGAAGCCCTCACGTGTGCATCTCATCTCCTGGCATTTCCCGCTGTGATGGACTGAGTGCGGGGAAGTCTGGGCCTGCTCAGTCGCGGTCATTATGAGGCTTTGAATGGCGCCCCCCAGGAGGAGGAGGAGAAGGAGGAGGAGGGGGAGGAGGAGGGGAATCCGCCTTGAAAGCAATCTGGGCGCGGACGGGCGACTCCCTGGGGTGCCCACAGCTTGCTATGCCTGCCACTTGGGTGAACTCTGGGCGTGAGTGAGTGGCAGTGTGAGCGAGTCTGCTCACGTGAGTCTGCATGCGAGTGCATCTGACCGTGGGTGAACTGAAGGCAGGGTGGACCCGAGTGTGGGCGAGCTGGGCACGAGTGGACACGAGTGTGAAAGGGTGGGTTCTGAATGCAGGGGAGCCTGAGTGTGCCGGGAGCGGCCAAGAGGGGGGTGTCCAAGAGGGGGGGGTGCAAATCATGACCGACGGCATGTGCGCGGCCCAGCGGGGAGGCCAGGGACGTAATGAAATAAGAAGAGACGCCATGAAATCTGGGGAAAAATCATGGCCCACGCCATGATATCCACCCCCCCCTAGTCATCACCCCCCTCTTTTCCGCTCCCGAGTGTGAGCGGGTCAAGGTGTGTGAGTCTGAATGCGGGTGGGTCACAGTATGGGTGAACTGAATGCCGAGAGAAAACGGATCAATGCGTCCGCGGAAGCACGACCAGGAGGAATCGCACACATGCAACAGGATGATCGAAGTGGAGGAGGTACACTTCAAACATAACCAGGATAACCATACTCCCTAAAAAAAAAGTCAAGAGGCCAAACGAGAAGACCGCGTGAACCATCCCCACAACGTGGCCGCGAAAGAGCAATGCACCCCTCCCTGACAGCTTTTCCTTGCGTTGCCATTCTGCCACGCATTTCGCGGCGACCATGAAACCATTACACAAAATGCGTCGGACACGCCGGAACAAACATACGGCCTGAGACATCCGGGCGATCAGAGCGCTAATGGCGTTGGCAATTCCTCCTTGGGGTGCCTAAGTGCTACACCGGGTAGATCGCAACCAACATGAGGACCTCACAAAAAAAATAAACAAACACGCAAAGCATTTAAGACATCCGCATACTCTGTCCGCTCAATCTGGGCGCAAACCGAACCTGGCGACTCCTTGGGATGCCCAAGTGCCGCTCTTGCGATAATCGCAGTAAGCATGCGGCTCTCGAAAGGGGAAGAGCCTGAACAACCAAACGCTCAAACCACTGGAGACATCCCCGATCTAGTCGCGAACGGGGGCACGACATACTCACTGGTGGCTCCTCCTTGGCGTGCCAAAGTGCCATATCGCAGAGATGGCTCGGCTCTCAGAAGAGACGACTCTGACGCCACGCCTGTCACATGTCGGTGGTCACTGGGCTCTCTCCAAGCTCATGTTGCTCCCAGGCCACATCCCAGAAATAACTTCGAGCACCCGGAAAAGTATCGAACTAGTGTCGAACGAATGTCGAAACAGTGTCGGACGAGTGTCTCCCAGGGCCCGACAGGTGAAAACCATCCAGTTTCGGTACCTTTCCGGTGCTCGAGACTCCTGCTGGTGATCGAGGCCAACACAGGCAGGAACAGCATAACTCCAAGCATGAACCTGAACAACCAAACGCGCCAACCGCAACCCACAAATCCCCAGTCTGGGCGCGAACAGGGACCCGACATGCCCCCTGGCGGCTCCTCCTTGGGGTGCCCGGGGGCCACGCCTGCCAACGTCGGGCGCGAGCTCGTCGGAGCGTGAGCGAGTCCTAGCAGGCATGGATACGGCAGGTTCGTGCCATGACGACCCTGGCGTTGGTTTTCTGACACCGCGTGGATCGTTCAGCCTTGAAGGATCGGCGGCTTTTCGATCGTCAGATCCTCCATTAGTTGGCCGATGCTGGGTGCCGCGCCGTTCCAGAAGCCCACGGTTCAGAGAAGGCCCGCCCACGCAGCACGGCAAATCCACGGCGGGGAGAATGCGCCCCCCGCCCCCCGCGCCACTGGCGGCGTTCAACCTTGAACGCCCGCGGCGGGGTCGCCACCGGTCGACACGACGCGGACCTACCGTATGTGTGATCGTGATCTGTTAATGAGTGCCTCATAGTATGCGCGCGAGGTTTTGGGTGAGACTGAACGTGATGCTGACGGTGGATGAGCGTGAGTGAGCCAGAGCGTGAGTGGGTCTGAGTGCAAGTGCTCGGAGGAATCATGATGACTGCTTCTGACGAGCAACGCGTCGAAGTAAATCCAGCTATCCCCACGGGAACCTTGAATAAATCGTGGACGCTACAGCGCGAGTCGAGCACGAGAAAATCAACGTAGCCACGCGAAAATAGAGAGTCCGCAACCACGGCTTGCAAGAAATGTACCCGGAAAACCACATGTGTTCCACCCAGCTCGAAAGTTTGGTAAGAAGTGTTCGCAAACTATGGCCCCTCGCGCTCTCTTCGCCAACGCCGGGACAACAGAGGTCGTGAAGCTCACAGCGAGCCTGTTCGCAGCCGCACACGCCTCGCCTCCGCCGCCGCCGCCTTCAGCGCCGCCGCCCCCGTCGCCGCTGACTGCGCCGGCGCCGCCGACTTCGCCGACCTCGGCTGGACCTGGCGCCTGGGAGAGCCCGAGATGACCTCCAAGGTGGCTCAAGATATCTCAAGATGTCTCATAATGGCTCCCACGATGCTCCACGATGCTCCAAGACATCTCCAAGACGGCTCCCAGTGACCAAAGAGCTCCCCCATGAGGCCCCGAAGAGGCCAAAACCTTAGGAAATTCTTTGTGTGTGTGTGTGTGGCTTTCTCGCCTTTTCGCTTCCGATGGCCATCCGAGGCTTCAAGACGGCTCCAAGATGGCCCAAGAGCGCTCCAAGAGAGGCTCAGAGCCCCAAGACGGCCCCAAGCGCGCCTAAGAGCGCTCCAAGAGCGCCCCAAGAGCGCCCCAAGAGGCGATTGTTTGGGCTCCCGAGGGGCAACGCTAACTAATGCTCGCTTCTTGTTTGATCGGTGTCCCCCAAGATGGCCCCAAGAGCGCTCCCAAGGCTCCCAAGAGCGCTTCAAGAGGGCCCCAAGAGGCGTCCAGGAGGCCCCAACAGGCGCCCAAGAGGCCTCCAAGATGCTCCCAAGAAACCCCCTAAGAGGCCCCAAGGAAGCTCTCCGAGGCACCCAAGACGCTCCAAGTGGCCTCCACTGGGGGACCCTTCCTCTGTGTGCTGCCCACTTCCCTGATCGAGGCAATTCCTCTGGGCATCGTTTCTGGATGGGCTGGTGGGGTTACGCGAGGCGTCTAGAATTCCCCTCAGACCTGACGTCGCGAACAGACTACAAGAACTGGCACGACCACGACCAGAACCCTG